TCAGGGGACATTGAGGGGTCAGAGTGGGGCGGGAATCAGGACACGGAGGCGACAATCAGGGGACAATCAGGGGACAATCAGGGGATGGGAATCGGGCCGTGGAGGGGACAGGAGGGGACATTGAGGGGTCAGAGTGAGATGAGAATAAGGACAGGGAGAGGGGACAGAGAGGTGACAACCAGGGGACAGCGAGGGGACAGTCAGGGGATGGGGATCGGGACATGGAGGGGACAGAGAGGTGACAACCAGGGGACAGTGAGGGGACACCGAGGGGACACTCACGGGGTGGGATGGGGAACAATCAGGGGACAGCGAGGGGACAGAGTGAGGTGGGGATCGGGACATGGAGGGGACAGCGAGGGGACATTGAAGGGTCAGAGCAGGGACGTGGAGAGGGGACACCGAGAGGGGACAGTCGGGGGGTGGGATGGGAGACAGAGAGGTGACAATCAGGGGACAATCAGGGGATGGGGATTGGGACATGGGGGGGACATTGAGGGGTCAGAGTGAGATGAGAATAAGGACAGGAAGAGGGGACAGAGAGGGCACAACCAGGGGACAATCAGGACACAGAGAGGGGACAGAGAGGTGACAATCAGGGGACAATCAGGGGATGGGAATCGGGCCGTGGAGGGGACAGGAGGGGACATTGAGGGGTCAGAGTGAGATGAGAATAAGGACAGGGAGAGGGGACAGAGAGGGCACAACCAGGGGACAGAGAGGGGACAGTCAGGGGATGGGGATCGGGACATGGAGGGGACAGAGAGGTGACAACCAGGGGACAGCGAGGGGACAGTCAGGGGATGGGGATCGGGACATGGAGGGGACAGAGAGGTGACAACCAGGGGACAATCAGGGGGTGGGGATTGGGACGTGGAGGGGACAGCGAGGGGACATTGAGGGGTCAGAGTGAGGTGGGAATAGGGACACGGAGGGGACAGAGAGGGGACAATCAGGGGACAGAGAGGGGACAGAGAGGGGACAATCAGGGGACAGTGAGGTGACAACCAGGGGACAGAGAGGGGACAATCAGGGGACAGGGAGGGGACAGGTTCGGATGGGAATCATGGAGACACCACGGGGACATCGCGGGGACAGTGAGGGGACAGTGGGGGGACATTAGGGGACAGGTTGGGGTGGGAATCGGGACAATGAGGGGACAGCGAGGGGACAATGAGGGGACATGGGGACAATGAGGGGACAGGCTGGGGTGGCACTCAGAACATCGTGGTGACAACGAGGGGACACCGCAGCGACACGGCCGGGGCGGCCATGGGGACAACGAGGGGACAGCACGGCCAGCACGGGGGCACCGCGGCGACACCAACTCGGGGACAACTTGGCGACACACCAGGGGACAGCACAGCGCCACCGTCACCAGGGCAACCCCCCGGGCTCGGCGACAACGCGGCTGGCACTGTCCCCAGGGCAGCCGCGGGGACAGCGGGCACGCGCCACCCCCGGGCACAAATGTCCCTTTGTCCCCGCGCCGTGGGAACGGGCGGGGGTGGCACCGCGCCCGCTGTCCCCGCGGTGTCGCCGGGGACAGGGGGTGGTGGCGGTGTCGCCGTACCACGATGGCGTCGCTGGCGCCCGTGGACAGGAAGATGTCGTCGGCGCTGGCGGGGACACCGTCGCGACGCTCGATGTAGCGCGCCACGTCCTCGCGCACGAGCTGCAGCCCCGGGCTGGCGCTGTACGAGCCTGGCGACAGCGACACGCGACAGCCCTGTCACCTCCTGTCACCTCCCTGTCACCTCCCCGGCACCTCCCTGTCACCTCCTGTCACCTCCCTGTCACCTCCTGTCACCTTCCTGTCACCTCCCCCTGTCACCTCCTGTCCCCGCCCTGTCACCTCCTGTCACCTCCCCGGCACCTCCTGTCACCTCCCTGTCACCTCCCTGTCCCCTCCCTGACCCCTCCTGCCTCCTCC